GGGAGCAGCTCCAAGGTAGAGGGCAGGAGCAGCACATGGCAGTGCGCGGAGGGACAGCTGAACTGCCCAGCAATTGATCGCCTGCTGGGTGGCTGCAGCACCGGGAACTTAGGGCAGCGGGGAACTGACGGGGGGAGCCGATAGGGGGGCTGCCGATCCACCCTGGTTCCAAGCCCCCACCAGCTAGCTGCAATGAGCTGCTCTTCCTGAAAGCAATGGACAAAGCAGGCGGCTGCCAAACGATGTTAGAAGGGAGCATTGCACAACTTTAAACAAGCATGTTCCCTAATTGATCAGCAACGTAACAACGAAACAACGTTAACCAGGACGACTTTAAGTGAGGAGTTACTGTATTTAAAATCCTAAACTCTTTAGGGCAAGATCTATCTTCTACTGTATTTGTACAGTGCATAGTACAACAGGGCTCGGATTCTAACCAGGGCCTCTGGGAAGTACTGTAATAATAACACAAATCTTAAACATTAAGTTCTGACTTTAGTGGCTATAAGCAGGAGTAAATTTGAAAGACCAGGTCGCTCACCAATGAATGCTCTTTTTCCCCAATACTGAATATTCCTTGTCATCTGAGAATTTAGCTCTCAAAAACATTCTAGCTAGTTAACTGATAAGATAGGATACAAGGAGAATTGGTCTTGGAGGTAGCTGTGGCCCAAGCTATTTAGAACTTTATACATAATTGACACCCTCCATTGCACTTGGCAGTGAACAGGCTGATGGGGTTGAGATTGGAATTCAGGTTTTAGGTATACGTGTCCCAGTTAGCAATCAAGCCATGTTCTCTATCAGCTCGATTGTATTACTTTCAAGGTTAGGTCTGCTCCCAGTAATGCACATTAGAGTAGTTCAGCCTAGAAATGATTGAGGAATGTAAAGTCTACTTGGGAGAGGAAATGCCAGCAGAAATTGTTAAGTAACCCTATCCACTTCTGAAGGGCCCATAGACAAGTCAATATATGTTGTTCTGCTATATGAAAGCTCTATCGCTGTGGAAGCGAGCTTAATCAATCAGATAGGTAAATGCTAGAACAAGATTCTTGCTTTTTGTATAAACTATTATGAGTGCCCAAATTATCATGAGATTAAAGTCATGGGTTTCCTCTGAAATCTTAGTTCAAGTCCAGGGAAATTAACTTAAATTTTTTTAACTTTTAACTTACTTATATTATTTATTAGTATTCCAGTAGTTCTCGGTTGTGGTCTCTTTGTATTATGTGTGGTGCAAACACATGGGAAGGCATAGTTCATCCCTCAAAAAGTTTATAATCTAATTTCAGATAAGATCAAGCAAGTGAAACAAAAAAAAGGAACAAAGGGAAGGGAAATTCTCTTTCAGTAATAATAAACACTTGGATATTTGGGTCTAAATCATTGAACTTTTGTGTGTGTGTGTAAAATGCAAACAAAATAATAGCAATCCCTTCTGTCTCTACCTAGCCAGAATTGGTTGGAGATTTGTTGTGTGCCTCATGGCAGATATAAGTGACACGGTGTGGTCCAATTTACTATCATGTTCTTTGTTAACCAGCACATGATATGCATCACTCTATCAAGTCACATCTGCTCAGACTTTCAGGACAGGTATTCTGGAATCAAAGTGTAGATTGAACAGGGTTGAAGCTTTGATGTACATCCCCTAGCAGGAATTTGGAATCTTAAGAAGTTTCTCATGGGGCAAGTTGTGAGAATCACATGTTTCAGATGCTTCATTCTGTACAGGTTCTCAGACACTACAAAGATGAGCACTGTAGAAAAGCCTATAAATAAATACAGAGGCTTCTTATGCTTTGTTCTCAGATGGGTAAACACAGTCTTCCACTAAAGTTTTATTTTTGTTTCCAGGGCACATTGTGGTTTATAATTTAGCAGCCTCACAAAATAAATAACGTTCTTGGAAACTCTCTGAGAAGAGCCTTTATAAAGCTAAAAAATATACACTGAGAGGTACTGTGACATTCCTCGGGGTACAATCTGGTCTGATAGACAGCTGTGTTCCCTCAATTCTCCAATCTGTAGTGCCTTTTACATGGCTTCGCTATGAGAGCAACCACTTCTGGTCTGCTCTCACATGGCCCTCAGCATGTAAATCACTCCCAGCTATGTTGTATGAGTGCTATAGTCAGCCACACCTCAATTACACTTCAAGGCAACATCAGCAAACGCCCAGTTCCAGACTTTCCCCCAGAAATGTGTGTCTTGTACTGCCCAGCACAGGACAATACAAACTGATGTAAAATCCATCATTTCATTAATAGAAATGATATGCACAAATCTTACTATCCCAAAATGAAGTTTCCCAAACACTTCAATCCAAACACGTGCTGGTTTAGATAAAACAATCAAATTTATTAACTACAGAAAGATAGATTTTAAGTGATTACAAGTAATCAGGCATAAGAGTCAGAATTGGTTACAAGAAAATAAAAGGCTGAATATGAATATCTTACTTAAACAGCTAAATGAATTTAAAGCAAAGGTTTCTCTAGTCACATGCTTCACTAGTCTTATTTCAGCCAGGACCACTTTCCCCAGTTCAGTGTTAATTTTCTTGTCCTTCAGGTGGCGTTGATGCCTGAGAAGAAAGGGAGGAGTATTTTGGAGCCTCTCTTCCCTTTTCTTATAGTCCTCTTTTTCTTTGAAAGTCATCTCCAGCTGAGGTTCAGGAGACAGATGGTCTGTGGGAATGGGAACCTACAGCTGTTTCTTTGCCAAAATATAGATTTCTTGCTCGCACCCTTTTTCCTGCCAAAGAGTTGCCACTTAAACAGGTGATAGTCCATTTGATTTTGTTGACACCTGGCTGAGGCATCAGTTTGCCTTTTGTCTTCGAGGAACTGTTTTGTGCCTGCTTTTCTAAACTTGGAATGTGTCTCAGTAATGTTATACAGTAGAACCGTATAATTTTACATACAATGTTGCCAGACATTTTACCAGGGTAATAATGATCAGCAAATTATGAGTTTTCAAATGATACTTCTCAAGGCATACTTTGTACAAAATCCACTATAGTTTTGTAAAAAGGGTGAACATAGGGATACAAACTGTCACAGTTACTCAGGAGCTTGATTAGCGTGTGTCTTGCTTGCCAGTTCTGGAGTACCCTCAGTTTATCTTCTTTGCCTTTCAAGCACAATATATTTCAAGACTTCACAGGTTAGCTTCCTAAAAGGATAAATATGTGGGATAAATACAGAGTAGCCTTCTTTTCCATTTACAGTTGCAGTACAGTCTAAAATTCTAGTGGTAGCCAGATATACTTTAAAATTATTTTTAATTCATAATTTTGATAAATACAGTGTTGAAGAACAT